TTTTCATGAGTCTACAGATATTCGTTTTTGAATTACAACAAAATAAGGAAATCACTACATGAGAAATCGAGTGAATATCCAATGTTGTAAAAATTTGAATTTCAAACGGTCATAAAAACTTAATTTGACTTTCTTATTGACATTTTTTTTTGATAAATGTAGAAAATATTATAAGGAATCTTGTATTACATTTTAAAATCTTAGATTTAAAAAGAAAAATTTTTACGAATTCTTAACTCAAAATATATTTGCTAATTTTCGTGATTTTTCCATATTTTGTAAATATTTGAACTTTAAAATTTAAAGTTTAAATGCTTGTAAAACAAAACTGTGACTAAGGATTTTTAATATTTTTCAACTGCCTTTGAAACAATATACTAGGAGCCTTCTATTAAATTTTCAAGCTTTATTAACCAACAAATAAAATTTTATTGATATTTTTAGAAAAAAAACTAAAAAAAATGGAAAATGAAAATGTCGCTAAACAGTTCAAAATAAATCAAAATATTTTGAAAATGTTATCATGTATAGGAAATGCAAATATAAACAACCAGTGAAAATGTCATGTATCTACGGTCATTTTTTTTAAAGTTACACCGAAAACCAAATTCAATTTTGCGTCTAAATTCCCATTTTTCCTTAATTTTTCTTTTGTTTTTCTTGGCCCTTTTGAAAATTACTGGGAATTTTAGATTTTGACCCTCTTAATGCACCAACGATATTCACTTTCCAATCGAACAAGATACTGAAGTTGAAAATCGAAGCATTATTTCTGCTACTTATCGTGTACACAGACACAAATAAAGTTAAAAAATAAAAAAATAAAAAAATACACTTCATTGTAAAATCAATACATTCACCGTTTCATTCAAGAATCTGAAATGCGCTTTCAAAAATTGAAAATAATAAAAAAAATTCAGCATTTCATTAATAAAAATACCATTAAGTCAGATTTCAATTACGATTTGTGTAACGCGTTGGTTGCGGCAAATATCCATATGAATAAATTGAATAATGACGTTTTTAGATCTTTTTTATTAAAATATTGCAACAAAAATATTCCATGTGAATCGACATTACGGAAAGGATACTTTGATAAATGCTATGAAGAGGTTTTGTCGAAAATTCGTGACGCTGTAGGTAAACATAAAATATTAATTCTTGTGTATTGACTAAACCACAGATTCAAAACTCCGAAACGTGGCTAACATAATAGTTGGAATTCTACAACCAGAAAGTCCTGGAAATTTGTATCTTCTTTACACAGACTATTTAGATAAGGTAAATAGTAGTACGATTACACAGCTATTTGACAAAGCAATGCATATATTGTTGCCCACTAAGGTAAAATAAGACAATATTTTGCTTTTTATATCGGACGCGGCTCCTTATATGAAGAATTTTGGGTAGTTCAATTCAGACTTTGTAAACGAATATTATTCATTTAACTTGTTTGGCTCATGCATGTCATAACGTCTCTGAAGAAGTACGAGCATATTATAAAAATGTAGACCCGTTAATTTCCGAAATGAAAAAGAAATTTTTAAAATGTCCTAAGAGAATCGCAGTTCTGAAAGAAAAATATCCAGAATTGCCAAATCCACCTACACCGGTAATTACACGTTGGGGTACATGGATTAATGCAGTAAATACTATTGTACAAATTTCAATGAACTGAAATCCATAATTGAAGAATTCGAAGAAGAATCTGAATGTGTGAGAGCAGCTAAAAGACTTTTTAAAATTCCATCGATACAAAGTAATCTGGTGTATATTGTATCTAATTTTGGATTTTTACCTGACCCTATTACAAAACTAGAAACAAGAGGTAACAAATATTATTTTTATGTGTTTTACATGTGTTATATATTAAAACATACTGTGTATGTTTCAGGTGTATTACTATCAAAAAGTGTAGATATTGTGAATAATTTCCAGATTAAACTCCAAGAATGCAATGGCTAAATTGATTTTGGATAAATTCAACAAAGTTATATCGAAGAACAAAGGATGGGAAAATATCAAAAAGATCAACCAAGTATTGATTGGAGAAACCACAAGCGATGACGATTTATCAAGTAGCAATCTTAATTTAGATAATTTTCTATGTATAAAAATATTTTGAGCCCAAACCGTCACCGTTTTTCTGAAGACAGCACATCAAAGTACATGATAGTCAATTTTTTTTTTAATACCAACTAATTTATTTTGTAGTATATTTATGAATTGCCTTTTTATGTAAATTAAATGCCTTTTTTTTACATTTTAAAAGCTTTTTTTATTGATTATATTGCCTTCAAATCCGACTGATGACCATAGGAAACACTACGGAAGTAAATTTTAGTTGATTGTAAATTACGGTTATAAATTTATGGGGCGATATTTTGTATGTTTATGAATAATTTAATTTTGATGCAATAATAAGGGCAAGCAAACTATAGCTAGTACAAATCATTGGTAATAGCTATAGTTTTTTTGGAGTTTATTCCTTCTATAAAGAATTATAATAATAAATAAATAATACCATTGAGTAATACTATATACTATAATATACTCTATACCATTGGTTCTCAACCTTTTTATATCCAGGTACCACCAACACGGTTTTGCAATTTTCATGTACCACTTGGCCAAATAACGTTTTTTTTTTGCTTATCAAAATCAATACCGAATACTTTAATTTACATGTATCGAAATTAATTTCATCAGGATTCACAAAAGGAATAAACCAAAACATATATTTGGTGAATAATGATATATTTCATTTTTTTTTTGATAAAGGGAGATTTTTCTGAGCGTACCACCTACGAGCGTATTACGTACCACTAGTGGTACGCGTACCACAGGTTGAGAAACGCTGCTCTATACTTTATACTCAATTATAGTACCTAATACAATTATTGGACCATAATCTGTATTACCTAGGTACCTACTATAGTAACGTTGTTTTCACTTCCAAAACAGATTACCTATATTGTTGTTATTACATGAATGAATTTCTTAAAATAAAGTGCCATAAAATAATACCATCAAATTGATATTATAGAGAGGAACATATTATATTATTATATTGTAAAAGCAGCTATAGTATCGGACCCGAGCACAATACAGCTGGAGAGATGGATATACATATATTTGTTTGTCCATACTATTTAAAAACGAATACTAATGCAAGTAGGTGTATAGGTATATAATACCAGGCAATCGTTCGAATTGGGCATTTTAATATTACGGTGTAATTTAGTACCCTGCAGGTATGGTTTTTAATTACATTTTTGATGAAAGTGTTGGGTTTAACCGTATTATTTTGCAGTAAAGCTTCACGTGTCAGTCAATCCTTTTATAACACTATTATTTCATTTATGTTTAATGTATAATATTATAGCTATGTATAGAAATAGGGTTGATTTAAATTGAAAACTACTAATCGCTTTAACCTTCATTCCGATTTCCGGCGGTCGAGAACACGGTAGTAAACAAACAATTTGTCTATTATAATTCTCGTAGGTTGTTATATTATAGTATTATTAATCATAAAACTGTTTTACAAAATATACCTATTTTCATTTATATACAATATGTTTTAATTTTTCTTTGTATCGTGTCGAATTTCCAGAGACCGTACAAATTAGAAAGCATAATGATTAAAACCTTTAATGGTTTTAAATTAACTTTTTTGTCAATATTAAAAGAATTTAAATTATTGAACATTTTAATATTAAATTTCCAAAATATGTTTAGTCTTTTCATGAGTCATTAATTAACGACTCATAAAAAATAAATAAATAAAATCAAATAATTAATTTTTTTTTACTATTACTAAAATATAAGTTTTTGAAAAACCGTCATCAAATTTTATTTAAAATCAATTAATTTGATGCAATTTAATAGGCATTACTACAAATCATGTACCTATGTCCTGTTTCTGTATTATATAGCGTTGGCAATACATTGTTCTAAATGTTGAAATTGAAAATAATTATAACAAAATGAAATCAATATTAGTTTTTTCATTTTAACTACCCATCACTAAATGCCCTATTTTACCTATATATTACAGCGTGCAAATCTCATTTTAATTCATATCCGTTATCCCCTTGTCTGATATTGGTATATTGAGTTGTATCGGCGTTATAATACCTATTCAATATAATTTGTAGGCGAAGAAGCGGTAGTACGTTTTGGACCCCCACAAAAAAGTTATTGCAAAAGTATAGACATTTTTGTAGTTTCATATATATTCTTAAATATCAACAAATTATTTATTTAAAGTCACTGCAATGGACGTGTTAAATTTTAATTTAATGATATAAAACCATTGTATACGAAATACCATTCTGAGCGAAGACTCAATAATAATTACTATAATATATATTATATATTTATTATAATCAACACTGAACGGCTTTTACAAAAATTATACAATCAAGAAAAACTTTGATAACAGATAAAGACATATTATAGCAACTTATAAGATGCTTTACATAATATACTTACTTAAAATTTTAATAATCTGAATAACTTAAATGACATGGGCAAAAAAGAACAAAAAAAGAGAGATGGAAAAAAAAACAAACGCAGTGTAAATGGTATTAAAACAATAGATATCTTTTCTTTTTTTTTTTAATTTTAAATGTGGGCCTCCGTACTAAATATGGTTTAATAATCTATACCTATTATTGTTTGCGTTATGCATCATTTTTAAAAGTGAGGCATTCCTGGAGAAGTAAGATTTATTGGTCTGTATATACAAATTAGACTGCAGCTTAGTATTACTAGGAATAAGAAAACTAAGTTCTCCAAGAAGCCTTGGGACATCAACTCGACCTTCGACCAGACCCTGAATAAAAGTGATACCAAAATTATCACGCTTAACCGAAAGGGAATCAAGTCTCAGAGCTTGACCTATTTTCCCATATTCATATGGTAGATGGGGTATGTTGAGGCAATGACCGACGAAACGCATAAAACTATTTTGAACACCGTCAATCCGACAAATATCAACGGCGGTATATGCATGGTGACCAAACAACAGACCCGTATTCAATAACCGAACGGACTAATGCATAATAGAGAGCCAGAATGCAATTGGTTGAACTGAAATTGAATGAGTGACGTCTTATAAATTTCAAAACACGGAAAGCTTTGGTGGTCATATAATCAATATGAGATCTAAAATTAAGGGAAGGTACAAATAAAATGCCTAAATCATGTACCTGGTTAACCCGTTGAATGGGTATACCTCCTAGCCTATAGTCAAAAGACATCATTGACTTAGAGCGATAGAAAGTCATAACTTTAAATTTTGAGATGTTAAGAGATAAATTAAACGTATTACTCCAATTAATGAATTTATCAAGGGTTTTTTGGAGAGTGAGACAATCATTATTGGAGGTTATTGTGTGAAAGATTTTAGAATCATCGGCAAAAAGTAGAAGACGGGGAAACAGCTGAGCACATGGTGTTGATGAAAATATTAAATAATATGGGACCTAAATGGCTACCTTGTGGAACTCCGGACGATGCTCGGAAGAGCTCAGATGAGTTGCCAAAGAGGCTGACAAATTGTCCACGCTCACTAAGGTAGGAACTGAACCATGATAAGAGTGGCTCTCTAACACCAAGCCTGTCAAGAATATAAAGAAGTGTATTGTGGTCAATAGAGTCGAACGCTTTTAAAAAGTCTGTGTACCTATATCACATCAATTTGATTACCCAATTAAAACGCTGCGTGAAGGTAAGATACAAAGTCTACATGACTGGTCGACGTCGACCGACTAGAAAAGAACCCATGTTGATAAATTGATAAAGTATTTAAGAAAGAGCACTCGATTCGTTTGAGTACTATAAACTCAAACAATTTACGTAGGAGAGGTAGGCCAGAGATGGGTCTATAGTTAGCAACATCAGAAGGATTACCAGACTTTAATATAGGCGTAACTCGATTTATTTTCCACACAGAAGGGAAAACACCCTCCAAAAGTGATTGATTAAAAATTAAAGTGACCGGTAAGCTGAGAGAGGCACGGCAGTGGTACAATAGAATGACAGAAATACCATCCAGGCCAGAACCACTAGCATTTGATAGGGAGTTAAGTGCTGCATTAACATCATCAATTGATATGAATAAATTAGAAGGTAGGAATTAAAATTGGTGGTTTGTAAACGCATCGGATAAATCATTGTAAGTAAACCGTGGGTCACCATATACAGATGAGAAGTGAGAGGTAATCAAAAAGAGGAAACTTGATCACTGGAGGTCTTAGACTCCCCAAGATGAACCTCATCTGGTATTGTAGAGACACCACGTTTACTTCGAATGAATTCCCAAAATGGTTTAGGATCTACATTCTACACATAAACGCTCCTGCATATTACGCAAATAGTCACTATAATAGAGACGTTTCGATTTAAATTTACATTGAGCGCGCAGTCTAGAGAAGATTAAGACCACCTAACATTTTATACTGTTTATGCGATTGTTTTTTCATAGCAAGAAGTTCCTTTAGCCTCCTTGGGACCCATATTGGAAAGGTTGAATTTTGAAAGTTAGGTAATGGAACGCATTCACGAATAAGGACAAGCAGTGATTTCTGTAAAAAAATATTATACAAAATTATTTTAAATTTAAGCTCAACTTAATTTTTAATTTCCACTTACAACAACTTATGAGGAACCTCGTATTAGATTTTCAGGTTTTTTGACTGAGCGGTATGTATTTACGGTAATTTTTTTTAGAGTTACAAAAAAACCAAAATCGATTTTGCATAAAAATTCCAGTTTTTCCTTAATTTTATTTTATTTTTTTTGTTATTCCCGGCGTTTTTAAAAACTACTGGTAATTAAAAATGTTGAGTTATAAATGATTTTAAATATATTTTGTTACAGTACAATTAATATTTGATTGTTAAATTAAAAAATTGTTAACAATTATTTATGAGGGGTGCGGTGGGCTAAGCCCCCCCACGGCTTTCGTTGATGAGAAAAATCGTAGCCCCCCCCCCCCAAACTTTTTCAATGGAATTCCGCTCATGTATTCAGATGTAATGATTAAAGGAGGCAAGCCAAATTAAGATTTCAGGCTGAGGCCTGCAGGATAGTAGGATAATGCGAGTTTTTAACAATAATCTCTATTACATTTTTAATATTTACAGAGAATGAGTGTGTAGTCATGTATAGAAACCAATTAATTAACATAATAATTACAAATTAATAATATTGGATTCGAGAGGGCAATTGATCCCGAAGTCCCACGGCGTGTCGTTAGCAGTTTTAATGGACTATTAATTTTTTTCATTTCCAAGCGCCAGTTACGCCAACGTATCAGGTTTACATACGAGGCTCATGGGTATAGACTCTATACTATAGAGTGATAATTGAGGTTCGTGAAGTTAGTAGGAGTATGGAAAGTGAAAAGTATAAAAAATAATTACCCGAATGAAAAATGTAAAATGTCGGAAACTGCAGAATTCAATAAGTATAACATAATAATAATAATAATAATAATAATAATACATTGGTGATACATGATCTGTCATTAAAGTGTGGAAGTAACTTTTATGAATAAAATATAATATTATGGTAAATATGGATAATAGTTACAAAACTCGGATTTTGACTTTTCTTTAGAAATAATTTTTGTTCTTAATAGAAACCATTGGGGTTGTTCTTTTGAACTTTTGAATTCAGTTGGAGTGGTTGGCTTACATTTTGTTTGCATTAATTATATTATGACTGTAGTACCTATAAGTGGCTATAACTCTTCATAGTTACTTAAATTATAAAATGTATGTATGTGTAACCCGTGCAATGCGGCTATAATCTTATTAAATAGTTTTAAATAACAAACTACTTACACAGCTAATACAAAAATTAGATACTTTAAAGTTCTCAAATTTACCATCGAAATTGGATTTATTTCCGATATCTGGATACGATAACTGATTTTACTTAACAAATTGAACTGAATACTAACTTTTAAAAGTGAGCATTAATTTGTGTGAGTAACCTAATTTTTTTTTACTTTTAACTTCCTATTAAGTTAACTGTTAATTAATATGTATATCTATTGTATTATAACTTAGCTTTTTTCAGTTAATTCAAATAATAATTCTTTAAACTAATTTATTAATTATGATTTGCTTAATCTGCAGTAGTAGGTATAAACAAATAAAATAAATTCCTTGATTAACCAATTTAGTCGACTTTATGAATGTATTACTAACGTATAACTGTTAAACCGTTGTAGTGCAAAAAGATGGAATAGTAGACTGCATAATATTTCTCTAAATATTTAGTTATTATTTATAAAAAAATTAAAGTTAGACTGCAATTATTTAAATATATGATCCAGGCGGTGATTAACTTATTTTTAACTGGGTTAAGTCATCATTTTTTTGTACATTAACTTCAATCTTCAAATACATTGTTTGTTAACAATCAAATTAGGTTGGTATATTTTAAAGTTCGTCAAATTAATTTTTATCATTAACTTTTCAAACTTTGATTGATATAGGCACCTATAGCTATGGCAAGGTATAAAAATACATATAATTGATAATATTAATATTATTATCTCAATTGACAAAATATTTGTTTTATCATTGTGGTTGTATTATAGAATAATAGTAAATCATTTATGTTTTGAATTGTATATAATGTATAGACTATAGGTATTATCTAAATAGTATGTACATTGTACTTAATGTGTGTAATATTATAACACAGCTAGTTGAATGATATATAACATTATTGACTCGTTACCTTTGAAAGGTTTCGGAAGAATTCATTATCATCAAAGAGAAAGTTAAAACAAATTTGTCTGGATAAATATGAGTATTATAGTCTGCATGATGTTACATTTGACTAGACAGACTGAGTGTAAATTAAATACATATTTAATTTACCAAAGAACAGGATTTAAACAAACAATGTTTATTCCAATAATATTATGAATTTATGAATCATGATGTATTGATGTGTAAATAATGTATTATAGATACTTACAACCGTACATCCGACAACTATTTCGTCTGAGATATATTCGTGTTAATAATCGATATTAATACGTCTGTTATAAATAATAATAATATACAGTATTTGGTGAATACATACCAAATACAGTTTCAAATATAAACATCATATTATACTTTGTTGGTCCAGACGGAAGTTTGTGTATCGATCAATAAATCCTTATTATTATTATTTGGCTGGTACAGAATAATTGGCTCCCGAGACCCAACACCATATGACGAATTGGTTCCAATTTGATAAAGGTATTATATTAAATTAAGCTGAATTGGTTCCCGTTTAATAAATCAGCACATTTTTCTTCTCAATATTTCAGGATTAGGACTGTCAACTTTAAAGTAGGCTTGGTTACAAATGTGCATTAGAGTGAGGTGGAAGTCAACCAGTCGACACTTAGGTTACAAAATAGAAATAATAAAATATTATATTATATAATATACAATTTAAAATCGTTGAGGTGATAGGTTCGGTTAAATGACCTTGACAATTTGAAGGAAACAATACTCTATTCGTATAAGTTTTCCATTAATGTACTCAGTCGTACAGTTTTCCAAGTATGTATTGGTTATTTCTATCTGATTTGCTGGTAAGTTTCCTTGTATTACTACTGCGAAATTTAATACAATTTAATATTTGAATACTGTTCAATGTCTTCATAAAATGAAATATATAAGAATGGAATTTATTTTTTTGATGTAAATTCTTTATTTAGTTTTTTAATTGAACAATTTGTAGTCCACCTATAATTTTTTTTGTCAAACCCGGCCCAAATTGTCGGTGGAAAAGAACTGTTTGTTATTATGTATATATATGTATCACGAACGCAGTCAAAGAATTGATCCAATTTTGGACAGCATGTGATTTTATGGCCATCAAATCATTGTAAAAACAGTCTTCGACACCTTCGAGTGATAATAAGGGCAGATCAAAAAATAATTTCAGAAGTTGTCAGACAAAAACAGGAATGAATTTGGCTTAACTTAATAAAATATCTTTTAAACGGGAACAAACTCGGCTACTCGCTGTCTCGCTATTATTTATCCAAAAGCGTGGAGGGCACCTACGACCTACCTACCTATTTGCGTAATAATCACACATATATTGTGTATTGTTTCGGCTTAATATTTTTTTCAGACTACTTAGGTACCTACTTGAATTAACAGAATCTCGATTAATTTATAAATGTCATGTAATTTTTGCAGTTTGTTCGATTTTGTAATTATGAATTTCGTAATAATTATTGACATGAATAATTGTACAATCA